CACCTCAAACAAGGTTATGATGCCTCTTGCAAAACACACACGAATTGCTTTGGTTGCTTACAAAATGCTTATTTTCCTATGAAGGGGGAAAGTATCTTACATCCCATGGTGCCTTTGCAAAAAGAACAACCTAAGGACTGCCTGCTGTAACCTATCAAAGACTTGAGCCAGATGCAGAAGTGAGAAAGAACACAAGGAAGAATCACAACAGTACCACAGGAACATCACACCAAAAGCCGTCATTGCTAGGACATGTTACAGGGGAGTAACAGATATCCGATTCAGTTACTACTTCCCAGCATCTCCCTTCCACTCAGTTTAACCTCTTCATTTAAATTAACATCTCTCCGCTGAAATTCATGCCTAGGCTCTCTGGAGATTCATAGCCTCTAACTTTCTGCCAGCCTTCACCATTATTCAGAAGATAATCACAGATAAAAGCAAGCTCCTAAAAAAATAATCCAGATTTGAATACGAAAGCTGTTTTCACAAGTGAGGCATACCTAAGTGCTCCCACTTTTCCAGCTCTGCAAATGGAATGAAGAAAGAAAAAGAGACATCCATTAGACTGTTCACTAGATCTTAAAACAGCCATTTTCCTTTCTCATATTAGCAACATGTACAAACAACACATCCCAGACCGTGGCATTTTCAGCATCGCTTGTGAGAACACCCAAGGGGTCTGGGTTGAACTGTAAAATAATAGTCATGCATGATAATTAAAATATGCTGCTATTTTTAGATAGCTTCAGTTTTAACACTAAAGGAGGAGCAAAATATTAAATGGAAACTATTTGTTCTGAACTCTTTCTCTTTCCAAGCCTTTCTGCAATTTTCCTGTTTCCTTCTGCCTGATTTGACAAGTTAACTGCCTTGCTGTTCTCACTAGACCAGTGTTTCCCAACCTTTTTTGGGCAAAGGCACACTTGTTTCATGAAAAAAATCTCGAGGCACACCACCATTACAGCCCCGTGACGTCAGCGCGCAGCGTCACGCCGGGAGGGACGCACGAAAGTGTAAGTTTCAATTTTTTCCCCTCCCCCTTGCCTTCCTTCTGTGCCAACCGCCAAAAAGCCAAGAAAAAAGCCAAGACTTTAGGGCAGCAGGTCGACACGGAAGAAGCTCCTACCTAAGGACAGGTGCGACGGCCGTGTCCTCTTCTGCCACCCTTGGCAGCCCTGCCTCACGGTCGTGACTCCCACCCTGATTTCTCCCCGCAGGTCGAGCGGCACAGGCAGCCCAATGTGTCCAGCCCAGACACAAGCCCCGCTTCCCCACTCTAGATCCTGAATGCGACCAAGTGCTCTGGACTCCCGAGCAGGGTGGGAAAGAGGACTCGCATCTGGTAGCCTCCGGGCTCCTCGCCTGCTCGAGGGATGGCATTGCAGGCAAGCTGCCGGCCGTCGCCATCGCCGCCCCCTCATGCGAGTGGACCTGCCCGGAGTGGTGGGCCGGGGGAGGCTCGCTCTCTGTGGGGATGTGGCCCGCACGCGCGGCCCCGCTTCCTCCTGCCCAGGGCTGAGCTCCTTACCCGCGATCTTGGTCTCGCGCACGCGGATCCCACTTATTCTGAAGCTCGCGCCACTAGCCAGGGCTCTCACACCGTGCCAGGGCGAGGCGGCGCGGCCCACTGACATCATCGCGGCTCGCCGCCGCCCTCGACTTCCCTGTTCCCTCCCCTCCCTCGGGTCGCCGTGGTTACCGAGGACTGCAAGCTGCTCGGGCGAGCGTGGGGCATTAAGTGGGAGAAGGAAAATTAAAATTAAAACTCGCCTGAAGGCCGCCTCTCCGGATACAGTGGTGCCTCGCAAGACGAAATTAATTCGTTCCGCAAGTCTCTTCGTCTTGCGAGTTTTTCGTCTTGCGATGCACGGTTTCCCATAGGAATGCATTGAAAATCAATTAATGCGTTCCTAGGGAAACCGCCTTCAGACCAGGTCCGGGGACAGTCTGTCCCCCGACCTCTTCTGAAGGCTGGGGGGGGGGGACAAGGGCTTTTCTTCCCACCCCCAGCATTTTAAAAAACCCCGGGACAGCGGAGAACTTCTCCGCTGTCCGGGGCAATCTTAAAATGCTGGCGGGCGGCATTTTAAAATCGCCCGGGACAGCGGAGGACTTCTCCGCTGTCCGGGGCGATTTAAAAGCCCCTGGGAAGGCAGGCAGGGGGGACAAAGATTTTCGCCCCCCGCCCGCCTTCAGAAGAGGTCCTGGACCTCTTCTGAAGGTGGGCGGGGGCGAAAGTCTTTGCTCCCCCCTGCCTGCCTTCCCGGGAGAGCGGAGAAAGGCAGCGCGTTTCACCGCTGTCCCGGATGGCTTTAGAAGGTCCTGGACCTCTTCTGAAGGCGGGCGGGGGCGAAAGCCTTTGCTCCCCCCTGCCTGCCTTCCCGGGAGAGCGGAGAAAGGCAGCGCGTTTCTCCGCTGTCCCGGACGGCTTTTGAAGGCAGGCTTTTGAAAGCCGTCCGGGACAGCGGAGAAACGCAGCGCGCCCTTGCCGCTGCCCCCCGACTTGGCTGGAAGGCTGGCGGGGGGAGAAGCCTGCTCCTCCCCATCGCCAGCCCCGCAAACTCGGGGGACAGCGGGAGAGGCGCAGTGCGCCCTTGCCGCTCCCCCCCGACTTGGCTGGAAGGCTGGCGGGGGGAGAAGCCTGCTCCTCCCCATCGCCAGCCCTGCAAACTCGGGGGACAGCGGGAGAGGCGCAGCGTGCCATCCCGCTGTCTCCCGACATGGTTTGGAGGCTAGCGGAGGGCTTCCTCCTCCCCCAGCCCCGCAAGCTCCCAGAGCAGCTTCAGCATGGCTCTGGGTCCCGTTTTGGGGGAGGGGGAAGCTCGGGCTTCCCCCGCCCCAGCCCCACGCCTGGCGGTGGGGGAATAATTTTTTCCCCCTTTATTCCCCCCCCCCGCCAATTTTTCCCGCGGCACACCAGGCAACGTCTCGCGGCACACTAGTGTGCCGCGGAACACCGGTTGGGAAACACTGCACTAGACCAAGGGTAGGCAACCTAAGGCCCGGGGGATGGATGCGGCCCAATCGCCTTCTCAATTCAGCCCGGGAATCAGTGTGCTTTTTACATGAGTAGAATGCGTGCTTTTATTTAAAATGCATCTCTGGGTTATTTGTGGGACATAGGAATTTGTTCATTTTTTATTTTTTTCAAAATACAGCCCAGCCCACCACATGGACTGAGGGATGGTGGACCGGCCCACAGCTGAAGAAGGTTTCTGACCCCTGCACTAGCCTTCCTGATTCTATCCCTTCCTGCTTGACAACTTCCCTACCATTATCCTTCCTCTCAGAGGCAGATTTAGGACAGCGTGACCAGATCCTCCAAACTGGGCACTGAGCCTCGGGGCACTGCAGGGCGTTGCAACTGTGACCTAGTGAATTAAGTAGAACAGAAGGTTGAGAGGCAGGGGGACACAAATTCTGGCCTTGCACAGGGCACTGCTGAAATTTCAAAGACCAAAGTCTGCCACTACTTCTTACCACCACATAATTATTTTCAGGCTGCTCCCCTACCGCACTCCAATATGCCACCAATCTCCCCATTCAGTCATCCTTGCCACGTCCTCCTCTTCAACATCTGCCTGGTTCCATTTTACTCTTTTGCCTCCAAGCTCCTGAAACTTGCAATTTCTGCCCATCACCTCAGCCTTCTCTCCCCTGACTTCTCTACTGGCCTCCTCTAGCTTCTAGATTCTGCCCATAGTGCTCTAAAATCATTGCACTGATTTTGCACTTCTCTGAATTTTGTGATACCGCTCTTGGCCAAAGAAAAGTACCAAAATGTATTTTAAAATTCACATTTTAAGATTAAAAAGATGCCAAGAAATGTGCATGTTGAGATAAAATATTTAAGTATATACAGTGGTACTTCAGGTTACATACACTTCAGGTTACAGATTCTGCTAACCCAGAAATAGTACCTCAGGTTAAGAACTTTGTTTCAGGATGAGAAGAGAAATCGTGCTCTGGAGGCGCGGCAGCAGCAGGAGACCCCATTAGCTAAAGTGGTGCTTCAGGTTAAGAACAGTTTCAGGTTAAGAACGGACCTCCGGAACGAATTAAGTACTTAACCCGAGGTACCACTGTATATACTTAGTGGTGCAATTAAGAAAAAATTTCCTTGCAGGTTTTAAAAAATCACAAGGTAAATGTGATGACTGAACAGACTTGGGAATTATCACTTGTGAAATTGACGTGGACCGAAATTGCCCGACCCATCCATCCCTGGAAAATATGCAAATTTCAAACATCTTAATATAGGAATAATGCTTCACCAGCACTTGCAGAATGCTCCCAGACGCTAGTTATCTTCCTGTGTTCCACCAACACTGCTCATTTTCTAGCCTGACTCCTTCCTTCATCTCTCAGAGGAAGGATAGCTACTTTTTCTAGGTCATAAGTCAATGAGGCTGTTGGGAAATGTAGCCCTTAGCTTCAGAATTACTGTTACAATATCATTAAAACACATTTATGAATGGGAAATAAACCTGACAGTTTTCAACACAACAGTGACATTCCATTTTTTTAAAGGACTATTTGATGTCCACTGAATTTATCTTATTCTAAAAGCAATGACTTCCCACACCTCAATGATGCACGTTTAACTGGTGAAGGTCAAGATGCCACAAATGAGCTTAGTTCTAAAATATTAAATGGAAACACCTGCTACTTGGCTACCAATAACAGTTTGCCATAGAAACAGCATTCACTTGTGTGGTAATGGTTAATGCACAAAATTAAGTTGTAGTAATCATAATGGCATTCCTTCCACCAAGGTTCAACTCGGTCCTGATTGTGTAAGCAATCACTTAATTTGTATCATGCACCATCAATCTTGCATGAGCCCATAATTCAATTATAGAACTGAAGACAGATGTTTCTTGTTGAATCACATGCTCTAATAGTTTAGGATTTATCACCTTAACATGATGGTTTTTAAAAGAGCTTTCGATTTTATCACTAGCTATTTCCCCATGATTTTAAAAGGAAGGCCCTACATTAACAAGCACTTTCCCCTTTCTGTTCCTGCCGTTTCCCATCTTCCATTTCTGTTTGGACATCATAGGCATTTTTCCACTTGTCAAACTTTTCAGTAAGTACACCTGCTGGCTACAGCAATCCAACTTGTTGCCAATTCCCTTTAAAAAAAAGAAAGAAAGAAACGTTTTGGTACAGCAGTAAGGAAGTCTGACCTTCATATTTTACTGTACTGTGCTTTCATAAAATAGAAAGATTTCAAAGTCAACCTGGAGATAACACGTTACGGTGCTTTTCTATTAGAAAGCACAAAATCTGCTCCAGATCTAACATTCTTTAGCGTTTGATTTCATCCTGCTGATGTACCTCTGTCGCTGCTGGCAAAGTAGCCTTTATGCCCCTTCCTGAGGCCCCTCATCGGATTTACCTATTAGGGTAGGGGCACCTTCAGACTGTTCAAATTTTGTGGGAGGGATTCAAGTGCATAACAGAAAATTTAAGTTTTCACAATTAAAGTGGGTTCTTTACCCCAGTGCAACAAATCCACAGAAAAGGGGGGTTTTGTGGTTAGGAAAGTGGTGGGGAAATGAATTGAGAAGTGTAGAATAATCGAATAAATGTAAGCACAGCAAAAACAAATCGGAATGAACGCTCATTGTCCTAAAAAGTCCTCACAAACAAATCAGAACCAATGCTTTATAAAGACCAGGTATAAGCCAATCTGAAGGAGCCCTAGGATTCCTAGCTAAGGGCTTATCCACACCTACCTTCCCTCTGCGCTTTCCAGGCACAGTCCACACAAAAAACCCAAATAGCCATTTGTTCTGATTCAACTTTAAAGGGCAGGTGTTCGCGGGGAAAGCTCTGGAGCAAAAAACGGGGGGCACTCAAACACGGAGCTTTAAAGCAGCAGGGCAAAATTAGTGTGGATAAGCCCCAAGTGTTTTAACCAATTATAAGAAAATTGAGGTTTTATTCAGTGCTCATAAACAAGGAAGTTCCCACTGCATCACTACCAGATACTCTAATCCAAAGACCTACAATTGCACACTTGGATCTCTTGCATGCTTCCCATTCATTTCAACCAACAGATCTGAGCCGCAAGTTAATTTATTTGTGCTGGCATATCAGATTCCTGCATGAAACCGGTGGAGGACCCATTATAGATAGGTTACGAAATGTATATGTGGTAAATGTTGCAAATTCCACAGCCCTAAAAAACAACAACTGCTGGTGTGTTTTTATTTCTTGCTCTTACTATGTCAGCATATAAAAATGAGCTTATTGTCCTTTGTTAGAAGGCCTGGAAAATTTTGAGAGATCAAGGAGGAGTGAGTTTTGCTTTTTTGTCACTATGGGCAGCCATGTCTTTGAGCCTCCCTGCCATTAGCCTGACTTTTGATCCTGGGGGCTTTCTTCATTCCATTGTTAGGCGGCACAGCAGACAGAGCCAGTGCCGACATTATGATTTTCCACCACACAGGAATGCCAAAAAGAAAGAAAAAAAAAAGGTGACATTTGAATTCACAATCCACACAGACTTTGCCACCCGGTAGAGCATTTTTTTACGTGAATCCCTTCGTGGGTAAAGAAAAAAGTAGGGAAGAAGCACTAAAGGGCTGGGATCTTCAATTTCAATTCATGTGCAAAGTAAGAAAAGAATGATATTGCTTCCCCAAAACTACAGTATGCCTTCTGATAAAGCTGGAAGCAAAAACTCCTCATTATTTCTCACCGTTTTACTTATTGGGCAATGCTGCAGAACCATAAATAGAAAGAAGTTCCCTTAGTTCACTGCTTTGAAAATTAAGAATAGCTTTTCTTCAGGCACATGTTCTACACTATCTAAATCAGGGGCAAAAACCCTCAAAAACCCCTCAGGATCAAGGGCTGAATATAGCCACTGCTCTCTCTTTCTGGCCACAGAGAATGTACCCAGGCTACATCTCCCACTAGCCCTGCTGTGTTCTCCTTGCCTAAGATGAAGAGAAGTGTGTGTGTGTGTGTGTGTAGAAACCTCTGACCTTTGCATGGCTGGAATTTAGCCTACTGTACAGAGGTAAGAGCTACTGTCACACATCTGTTGCTTGGCCCCCTTTTGCCTCTGGCTCTGTTCACCACTGGCATGAGGAAGCCCCACAAGCTGCCTAGAGGAAATGTTGCCCCTAACTTGAAAAAGCTCTCCAAGCCTGGTCTAAATGCTAGAAGTAACTAACATGCACAATTTTTTTTTCATCTGCACAATTATTTCAATAGTTTGCATCGCTTCCACCAGAAATGGCACAAAAATTTCATGACACAGACAGTTTACCACTTGTTTATATCTCTGCTGCTATGTGGTTTGTACTTGGCCAGCTGTTGCTCAGTTCTGATTTATTGCTATTATGATCCAGCCATAAGGTCTCCTGTGAGTTGAGAAAAGGGACACTGCCAGGATACTTTGGGATTGAGAGGGTGACCTAGTTCTTTTCTCGAGGGCTGAAATAGATGATTGGAGTGCTATTTTCAAAGGCAGCAGACTCCAGTCTCCAACTCAATGCAATGAACCTGGGCCAGCCCACGACGTTTTGCAGCCTGTGGTGAAGCAGCAAATAGCACCTTTCTCCCAACCAAGGCCATTTGGTTATTTGGAGACCTGAGGCAGAAAATCCCACAAGCACCTCTCCTCTTTTCCTGGCAGTAAAATATTGTCATGGATTGGTTAGACACAGAGGACTGGTGGGAGGAACCAGCTGGGGAGCCACCAAAGGAAGAAGGCTCAGAGAGTGGTGGTGGGATGACGATGAGTGGCCAGAGGGAGGAGACTGGGAAGAGGAGGTGTTGAAAGCTGAAGGAGTAACAGGGCTTAATGAGCTGGGAGAGTCTGTGGCAGAGAAGTTCAGAATCAGAAGATGAAGCCAGCAAGTGGGAGGAGAGAGGTCAAGAGGCAGGGATGAGTCAAGCTGGTGAAGTTACGGGTGTCTCACTCTATGCAACAAGCTTCTCTCCCCCATCTCCCAGAACCAGCAGATGCATGAAAAGGCCAGATGAGAGACTGGCTGCACACAGGCGCAGTCTCAGATTGCTTGGGGAAAGCCCTGGAGAGGAGGAGACGTAGACCGCAGTGGGGAGGCAGGGACCTTAATCTTGGCAACTGATTTCATGGGGTAAGACCCACAGGGAATGAGCTGCTGTCCTCATGAAGCCTGAGACTCAGCCCAGTCTGTGGAGATCATGTTTTCGCTAATAAAGAGTTAACTACAACTTTGAACTGTGTAATTTACTGACCAGCACGCTCTGTGACAAATATATACGAATAATTAAGTAAGTTAACAATCTGTTCCACTTTCATAACACTCAAAACCAACTGCCTGAGGTGGCTGCCCCACTTTGCCTAATGACAGGGTCGGCTCTGCATCATTAGTACATTTCTTCACAGTTTGGAATGTAGAGCAAGGAGAAATGGCAGCTGTTTAATCTCTGGAGATGTGGCAGCACAGAAGGGAAGCATAATAATGGTGAATATAGAGATAAAATATTTCGATTTGAGGAAGGAGGTGCAAACGTCTTCAAAACAGAATATTCATATTTGAGCTGTCACCTTAGATTTATGCAATAAAATAAGAAGAGGTAAAAATAATGATGTTCCTACTCCAAACCAAAGGGTATGTGCTTTAGGTTGCAAATCTGTACGCACCTGGAAGTAAGCCCCATTGGATTTGCTTTTGAGTAGAAATGTATGGAACTGTGCTGTTTAAGATTTGCATGAACTGCCTGGAAATAAGAATGTGGGCAGGAAAAACTCCTTGTTCAGGATGGCACTGAGCTGTTAATGCATTCTACCACAGAGTTAAGTTCTTCAGCAATGGTGTTGGATATTTAAAAATACACCAAAAGTTAGTTTTTTGCTTACTAAGCCTTAAATCTCGGCATGCTTTTCCAAACAGAGCTGACATCTTTTAGCAGATTTGTCACACAAGCCACCTTTACTTAAGAAGCCAGCACCAATTATCCTTAAAATAGCCACTGTGACTCAAAGACTGCTTTCCTTTCTTTTAACTGGGAACCTAAGGGTGAAATATAATGTCAGGCAAGCAGGCATCCTCTCACACAGTGATGCTTCTCTTTCTTCTTCTCCTTGTAGCCCCCACGTGCCCTGAAAAATCCGCTTGGGGCGGGGGTGGGGTGTGCAGGTTGCAGAGTGGGAGATGAGAAATGCCTTTGCCTACAAACCTGATTTCAACCCAGTTTTAAATATTAAGACTTTGTAAAAATTAAAATATTAAAAAAGGCTTTATGGAGATAACATATAATGATTTTAGAAACCCAGTGCAATGTTGAACAGGTTTTCTGACTATCAGAAGTTGAAGATCCATATCTGAACATTCCTTTTATTTTGTCATGGTTATTTTTCTCCATCTCCTGGTGCTTCTACTCTCACAGGTACCAGAAGGAATGCCTAATCCCATATAAAACTGCTCCTATTCCAAGGCCCTCCAGGGTCCCCCATCAACTTAGATGGCATCTGGAAACTGGAGGGAGGGCCTTCTTGGTGGTGGTGTCCTGTTTGTAGAATTCCCTCTCCAAAGAGGCTTGCCTTGCACCTACTATGCTATATTTTTGGCACCAGTCCAAGACATTTTTGTTCTCCCAGGCTTTTAAAATTAAAACAGTTTCAGGCCAAAGGAGCTGGTGTTTGTCTGCAGACAGCTTTCTGGGTCATGTGGCCAGCTTGACTAAACCATTTTTGGCGTGACAGAAGCCAGAGCGCACAGAAACACTGTTTACCTTTCCGCTGCAGCAGTACCTATTAATCTACTTGCACTGGTGTGCTTTTAAACTGCTAGGTTGGCAAAAACTGGGACAAAGCAACCGGAGCTCACCCCACTGAGCACATTCGAACCGCTGATCAGCAAGCCCAAGAGGCTCAGTGGTTTACTTTAGACCACAGTGCCACAAGCTCCCTTTCTACTAGGTCAGCCACTTTGTGGCTTGTTTACCTGTTCAAATGAGGGAGGAGCTTGATGAAACTTACAGAGGATTGCTTACAGCATACATCATTCATCAAAATAAAATGACAGCAATTGCCTCACTGTGATACAGTGACAGTACAAAGACTGGACCATGGCGTTGGATGTTTAGGTGAGTTTGTAATCTTGACAGAACTATGTCCCACTTTTCCCATAAAAAAAGCCCTGCCCCCATGGCTTTTTTTTTTTTTTTTGAAAAAGAAGCCTCAGAGCCGCAGAGGAAGAGAGTCTTAACCCATTCCTATTGCCAGTTTTCTGTTAAAATTCCTCCAAGCTGGGTTTTTCACCCATAGCAGGAAAGAGAGGTGTAGCCCCACCCCTCAACTAAGTGAAAGAAGCTTGGGGTGTGTCATGTACTGAGTTGAATAGGATCCAAAAGTCTGATTGGTCCTAGAACAATAGGATTCAGAATGCAGCAGTCTGATTGGTCCTAGAACAATAGGGTCCAGAATGCAGCAGTCTGATTGGTCCACAGGAGCCACCCAATCCAGCTCCAGGTGGAAGTGAATCCGCAACCTGATTGGCCTACAGGTGAATCCCGGAATTAGCCAATCACGTGGGGCCCACTGTGTAAATAATGTATATAAAGCAGACATTCTGGGGGAACTTCCATTCCCCCTCACCACTATGAGCTGAATAAAGCATGAAATCCACTCTTGACTCCGAGTATATTTCAGGGTGTTTCACTGCAGTAAGGGAAAGGGTTAAGAAGCCTCTCTGCTGCACATTTTGTGCTTCAGTAGCACCCTCCATGAGTGCATTTTGTTTTCTATTTAAAACTCAGCACATTGTATAATTTGGCCCTATCCCAACAATAACTGTTCTGCCACCAGCAATGTATACATATGGCAGAGCTAATGCCAGGGGGATCCTCAAATTATTACATGGGGGGAGGGGCTTTCCTAAAAGGATAATAAATCATTGTTGAGGGGTTCCAGATAGATATATCTTCATTATTTTGTGATCCCAGGCTATTTCTCCAGTGCCTTGGCCCAAGGGCACAAACAGATTTATGGAGAATGAAACATCCTCCAAAGTTGCAAATTGCTGCCATGACTGACGATGTTTAGATTCTGCTGGATCATTAGAAATGCAAGTCACAGGCACATGGCTGAAGGAGAAGGGAGATAGTGAGTTAAAGCCAAAAAGAAATGCCTGATGTGATGTGCAAGTGAAACGTGGACACCCAACATACAAAGCTGCCTTGGGCAATCGTTCTGTTTAAGCCAAGATAGGTATAATCCTTTTGCATACGCTCTTTCTCCCCTACACACACACACACACACACACACACACACACACACAGAGAGAGAGAGAGAGAGAGAGAGAGAGAGTCCTGTTGCTTTTCACTTCTGCACAAATCGTGATGAAACAAGGAAGTCTCTCATTAACCACAGTTTATCATTTTCTTCACTTTAAACCATGGTTTAATATATTCGCTGGTTCCAAAGATGACATCATGAATTTCCTGATTTGGACAAAATAGGAAACTAATACTATGGTTAATCAGAAACTCCATGGGGGAATGGCCTGTGTGCAGAGGCAAAATATCCATGCACATTTCAGTTTAATAAGCAGATGTATGATTGTATGAACACAGCCACACTTTAACTTCCAAAATAGTAGGGGTGCTCTTTTTTGTGTCAGCCACATGAATATGAAGACAAATATTTCCAAAAGAACACTCAAGAGACAATCCATCGCAAACTCACAGAGCTGCCATAGAAGCAGACCTGAGAGAAAATGCAATTTATAGAAAGAATCAGAAATTAGTAGAAAGAGCTGCATGAATGGCTCCCCATGATCTGTTGTGGAGGTCAGATGTGGAAAAATTAAGCAGGAGCTACTAAGGGAATAATGCAGGCAGTTTTATGGGACATGTTCTTTTTCATTCAGGAACCAAATCTGATTTTTAATTTCAATGGGAATGGCTTGGATTGTAGCAACTGGAAAAAGGAGATGTGGTATTAGATAATAGAACAGTCATCAGGAATGTTACTATGTCAAAGCATACCCACCAACACTGCTATGGTAAATATGCAAAGAAGCCCAAAGAACATCCACATGTTTAGATTGTGCCCTGGGATTGGATCTTCCCAAAAAACTCCATGTTTGCACGTTAGTGGAAAAATGGAAGGAGGAAAAGGCAAGGAGTAATTTTCAAAAAGATGCTGGTGCCATGCTTGATTCTCCCCCCTCCCAAAACAAGAGCTGCGGAAAGGGCACTGAAAGGTCCTTCTAGAATTACCCTAAGAAAGTGAATGAACAAAGTGAATGAAGAATGCAGAGGAGAAGAGACCTCTAATTAATATGTGCTGGAAAGTTCTGGCATCAATTTGTTCTCAGGGGGAACATGATAGACATATAGGCAGATGAAAAGCCCAGGCGGCAATTATATAAACACTTACAAAGAAGTAAATCCTATTGAACTCGGTGGGACTTACTTCTTAGTAGACATGTCTGGGATTGTACTGTCAGTATTTACTCTGATGCACTCTTTAATTGATAAGGAGCTTTGGGGAGCCTCTCTGCAATACCCAACGCAACCTTAATTCCCCCAGCCTTTTCTCAAGAACAGAGAAAGCAGTGTAAACAAACTGCGTGTTTCATTCTATAAACAAGAAATTCTCATTAATTGGAAGCAACACAGTTCTAATTCTCCCTAAGTAACCACCCCAGACAAAAAACAACAAAACACATTGTGAATATAAGCCTTCTACAGGACAAGATGCAGTGTTCACTTGGCTGGCTTCCATCTCCTTTGTTCTGTCATCCTGCAGGGGTGGCCCCATCATGAGACATATTGAGACAGTCACCTCAAGCAGCAAATGCTAGGGGGCAGAGATGGGATGGAGCTGTGTGTGCTCTGCACTCCCTAAGATAGCCTTCAGATGTAGTGGAGGATGCTGTCCCACTGCCCGTGTCAAAGTAAGATGAAACTCCCAGTCTCGCTGGCTTCTGTGCAAGGAATGAGGGGAGGCGTAATCTTGTCTGCCTCAGGCAGCAAAATGTCTTAAAATGGCCCTGCTGCCTTGTCTAGTTATGGCTGCTCAAAACTAGGGTTTTAAGTAGATAGTCTTCTCCTATTGTTTATCCCTATGTTCCAGTATAGAGACCTCTAAAGTTCCACATGAGCAGGCATGTCCAAAGTCCATTTCGGGGGCCTAATCCGGCCCGCCGGTCAGTTTAATCCGGCCCCTGTGGCAGTTAACTTCAACCTGAACAACTTCAATCCTAAAAAAAAAAAAGTCAGCAACTTTGGTCGGCCCCTTGGTCGGCCCTCACGGCCCTTTAAATCTGGCCCTCTTTGAAAAAAGTTTGGACACCACTGAAAGGTATGGCTCTTTTTGGAGGCTTTCCCACTCTTTACAAACTCCAGTCATTCTAGTTTGAAAAGAGAGGCAGACATTGGCATTGTTGACAAGGGGCATTATTTCATAGCAACAAAATATTACAGTCCAAACGGAGAATTAAATATACCTGCAAAAGAGGTATATTTTCAAAGAGAATAGCTAGAATTGCAGCAGATATGAGATGCAGCATTAAAGAGCACAGCCAAACAAAATGGGATGACTCCAACACAGTAGCAGACTCAATGGACACAACTCACTTAAGTCCATTGATTTCAGAGTATGACTTAGATGGATACAATTTGGTGTGTTGAGAAATTCCCTTAGAAACAAAGGAGCATTCAGAAATGCTGCCCAGAGTGGCTGGGGCAACCCAGTCAGATGTGTGGGATTAAAATAAAATACTAATACTAATAATCAGAATGACCTTTTTAATACATCTCTTAAAAATAAATTATACCCTACCTTTTTGAAAGAGCTCAAGAATACACACAACATAATAATGTATCAATGACAAATGATAACAAACAATAAAAAGTAAGAATCCAAAGTTCAAAAATTAGCGAACAGCAGCTACCTGAAGTCACCCACCCACCAAATGTAAGTGCTACCAAAAGGTACCATTTCTCTCTGTGGTTAAGTATTATCTGGTCCCAAGACAGATTCATAATGTGATTCAATGGTAAAAAAAAAAAAGGTTCATTTTCGATTTTTAGCTATTTCAGAAGTGTTAATTCCCCAGAAAATAGCACATTGCACTTTGCAATGATGCTTTATGTTTCACAGCCTTGCTCTGCAAGCCCTGGAGGTGGTGTCCTCAGCCAAGTCTGCCCATGTCTTAAAAAGGAACCAAAAAGCATACAGCACTACCTGCAGGCATCAAGATATATTAGCAATCTAATTCATTCCCTGCACACTCTCAAGGGCAGCTGTAACTTGAAAGTATGCTAGCTGAGAATGTCATGAACTTTTTGAAGTATGCATTGGCAAAAAGTTAGTGGAAAGCTTCTACTGCATTCACAGTTCCCTAAAAGGAGGTCAGGCAAGTCCATTAAAAAAAACTGCACTCATTTCAAGCCAGGATGTTTTTGCTACTGGTGTCACTAACAGGGAGAAAATAGTGACCCTCTGAACATCAACAATCCCTTTATAATCTCTTCTGCTCCAATTATAGCTGGAAATGTTTTCCCATCTCTTTAAATTCTGCACTTAGGACCACTGTACAATTCTGCTCATTGCTACATTTTCAGAGCCAGTAAAGAATAAAAGTTGCAGATATTGTAAGACATACAGTACCTTACTGATGGGGCAGAAAGGGAGAAAAATAGGATCTTAAGAAAGTGAGGGTGATTTAAAAATTGTGGGGGTGTTTGACTATTAATTTTAAATCACGATTCCTTCTCCCATTTGTGTCCCTCCCATCCTCAAATATCCACAGTAGAAGCTTGATTACTCACACCATGACTACCTAAATACACGTTAGTGTAGTTCTATGTCAATGTAGAAAAACAGTCCGAATTATCTAAACATCTGACTATCCTAATATTATGGACATTCTCTGCATTGCTTATATAAATGGAGTTTAAGCTCTAACGGCTTATAAACAAAATGAAGGCCCCCAGTAATTCATAAAGCTATATGAACAGTAAGTGGAGTCTTACCTTGTGGTGTCCAAAGTCATTTAATACAGTGCCAAGTTTCTTGGTGTTGGTATGAAGCTTATGAGCTGCGATCATTGGATTTGGATCCCGCCAGTCAATGGACAGGCGATGGTACCAGAGGCGCTGTCCTTTCTGAATATGTGCCAGTTTGATACTGGGGTCAAAGCGATGCACCTCACATCCACTATTGGCCATGCTGATCTCAAACTGGTTGTTGTCACTGCCCAGTCTTCCCAAAGCAAACAGAAGAGGTATTGTTACTTCAAATAAAAACAAAATCTGAAGGATCGCTACTATTAACATCTTAGTGCACCTACCCCTGAAGGACTTAAGGTAGAAAACATTAATTCTTGGTAGATGTGCAGAAGCACTAGAAAGAGCTTAAAGGTACCCCTGCCCGTACGGGCCAGTCGTGTCCGACTCTAGGGTTGTGCGCCCATCTCACTTAAGAGGTCGGGGGCCAGCGCTGTCTGGAGACACTTCCGGGTCACGTGGTCAGCGTGACGAAGCTGCTCTGGCGAGCCGGCACCAGCGCAGCACACGGAAACGCCGTTTACCTTCCCGCTAGAAAGCGGTACCTATTTATCTACTTGCACTTAGGGGTGCTTTCGAACTGCTAGATGGGCAGGAGCTGGGACCGAAGGACGGGAGCTCACCCCACCGCGGGGATTCGAACCGCCAACCATGCGATCGGCAAGCCCTAGGCGCTGAGGTTTTACCCACAGCGCCACCCACGTCCCGTCAGAAAGAGCTTACAATACCACAATTTTCAGAAAATACGTAAATAAAAACAGTAATAATAATAATAATAAGACTAATGAAAAACAGTCACTGCATGATTTGTCAGCCTAATTCTAATCAGCCCAGAAGTTTTCCTGAAAAGTGAAAAGCCAACAGTGAAGTAGAAGATACAAGGATTTGTTTAGAGAGGGCATTCCATGATCTAGGTGCTACACTCAAAAAGGCACTGTCGAGTTCCTGCATGTTACACTTCAGACAGTGGGGGGAAGGGGCAGTCAGCAGGGTATCAGTAGTTGACTGAAGCACCTAGGCAAGTTCATATGCAAGTTTGGGGACCTTAAGAAACCCTACTTACAAATTATTTCGGGCCTTAATGGATATGACCAATGGATATGGCATATTTAATTGGGCTCATAAGGAACTTAGCAGACAGCATAGTTGAAACAAAACTAGAATGATGTGCTCAGAACACATCTGCCCAGAAGTCTGTATGTGCATTCTGGAGCAGCTGAAGCTTCCAACCTCTTCAACGCAACCTTCCCATGCAGATGCTCTAATCTGGATGTAACTAAGGTATGAAAGACTATGGTTCGGTCCAATTTCTCCAGTTCGGATGTGCATGTGCATTGCATGATGTAACTTCATTCAATGGCTGTCAGCTAAACTTGTCGACTTACTCAGTTGAAAGCCATTTTGTATGTAGTGAAACATATCTGTAACATGTCAGGTGTTAATGGCACGTTGGCACATGCTTGGCACCAGTTAATGCTCCTGCTATCAAGGGGTGAAGGCGCATGTATGAGTTTGTCCAAACACTGCAAGATGAATTAAACACAGGGCATTCTCAGGGCTAAACGTCACATTATATTAATCACAATTTTTTAAAGAGCATGCTTAGTGCTGATATCTTTATTTTGAAGGGGAAGTAGCTGTGGGGCCCCCATCTAGTTTCACACTCCCAATTCAGACTGAGGTCTAAAAACCAGTTGCTTATTAACTCCACACTCACCCCACCCCACCGGGCCTCAGAACAGTTTGTAGTAAAGAAGCACCTTTGGAACCAGTAGTAACTGGGGCAATTTCAGGTGGGAAAATAGGGAACAGGAGATGGCACCAAAGACCCATGGCTACATTTCCTTTAGCATAGACCAATAGTGTTAAGCACATTAAAAACCACAGGGCGAGGCCTTCCACACATAAGCTGAATTGTGACTGACTACTGCATGTTGGCAAGTCTTTACATAGCATGATAACATAAGAAATGTAGTATGGCTTAAGGTCATACACAATGCTCTTCTGTGGGCTACACACTGATTTTCATGCTGCTCTGATTTCTGGAAACGGAGGCAGATGGGAATCTAGAAGAAAAGCTGAGCATCCTGTTTCCACCTAGCATTCATTAGTTCCACCTAGCTTCCTCTGAAATCAATGGAGGATTACATGCAGCTAACAGCACAATCCTAACCATGTCTACTCAGAAGTAAGTCTTGTTGAATTCAATGGAGCTTACTTCCCAGAAAGTGGGGTTAGGATTGCAGCCTTAGTCTGGATCCAGCCTCATGAGTGTTCAATAGCTAGAGGAAAATGTAAAATGAAAGCTGCCTTACATTCATTGCTGACTGTCAATTTAAAAATGCTTAACTATTGTGTGCATAGTTAAACACCTCAGAATGCTGAAACCTGGTAAAACCTTTTGTGAGTCTGTGGTTGTTGTTTTTTTTTAAAAAAAAACCAACACCACTTTCAGATGGAGCATTAATCTCTTTAATAAATTCAGAGTGCTTTTTATACTAAGCCAATTTAAAAATGATCATTCAAATTCATTGATGCATTTTGCGATATCCCAGCCAGCCAGTAACATTGCCCTCTGTACACCACAGAGTGTCACGTGCCTCCCAATGGATGGAGTAGCTAGAAAATAATCTAAAATGGGCAGCCTCCAGAGGATTTGAGCTCTGCTCCATCATGTTCATATGAAATGCTTCTGCTTTTCATCTCAGTCCTCACAAATGCACAGACAATAACTTCATTCCTCTCAATGTTTCATGCAATACGTATTTTTCATAGGGCTGTCCTATATATACTCAAAAACATTTGTTCTCTCTCTAGTCATCCTCTGGGAAGAAACCAGCTGGTCTTCATTTCCTCTTTCATAAATAGAAATTCATTAGATAAGAAGTGTATTTCAAGGAGATTTTGTCTCATTCTGAACAAGATTGCTTCTCTGTGCAATCATACACCAAAGAGCAGAATTAAGTGCCAATGTTACTGAAAGATTGTAATTGGATTGGAGTCACAAGGAATTAGAATTGATTGCTATGTAATTCCTCAAGAATTGCAAACACACGCGTGCACACTTAATTTATTTGAACGTTACTAGAGTTCCTTCCTTATTTTCATTCTGTGCTTTAGGGGAAAATCTTCAGTGCTTATATATTCCAGCAGAAGGGACCGTTTTAGTTTCCATTTTTCAAATATTTTATTTATGCAGCAAAACATTTTTTCAAAGGTCTCATTGTGCGCTTGCTTTTCTTAGGCTAGCAGAAGGCATTCTTAATGGAAGATAGATACGGAGGCAATAATGTTCTTTGAAGTAAGGTGACAAAATTCAACATGAAATTTAAAACTGACTCAATTGAATTATTTCTACATAATCTATGCGAAATCATAAGGAGGTAAGAATAGACCTGTTGGCTCAGAGTAAAGGCCTATCTAGTCCAGCATCCTATTCTCACAGCACCCAACCAAATGCCTATGGAAAGCCCCTAAGCAGGACATGAGTGCAACAGCCCTCTCCCCATTTGTGGTTCCCTATCAACCACTTCATCAAAAGCTTTTTGAAAGTACACAGTGTCAATTGAATTGCCTCTATCCATAGGCATCTTGTTGCAAAATGGATATGTCTGTGCTTGAGTGGTGCAAATACCTCTGAATGCACTTTGCATGACTTTTTTATTTTTTGAAAAAGTCGGCTCCTTCAGCCCACATTCTTCCAATTAATCTTGCAGTGGTGTTTTTTTTAAAAGAAAAAACCACATATATCCTGGAGCAAGATAAGCATAAGATAGCCTAGCAGATTGTGTGAAGAGCATGCCATTCACGATTGCTTCATTTGAATTTCCCCCATCATGCATCTACCTGTGCTTAAAGATCAGCACCTGATGCCCTCCTCTGTATGCCACCTCCAAGAGAGGTTCAGAGGGTAGCAACAAGGGAGAAGGGACTTTTTGGTTGTGGCTCCCCACTTATGGAATGCTCTCCCCAGTGACACCTGCCTGGCGCTGACACTGCTATCTTTTCAGCAACAAGTTAATTTTTTCATGTACCCCCAGGTATTTGGTGCTATGTGACGGGCTGTTTTTAACACTGCTTTTGCACCAGTGTTGTTTTTGTTGCTTTGTAATGGAGCTGGGGTGGTTTTAGCACTAAATGAATTGTTGCTTCTGTTGCTTTGTTTTAAATTTTGGATACCTTATATTTCTGTAAGTCAACTTGGATCTCTCTGAAAAGGACCCCTTAAGAATGTTAATTAATCATGAATAACATAAATGGTCCCCCCCCCCTACTCAAAAGGGAGACTTACCCCAGTGAATATAGGCGGCACTGCTTTCTTTTGATTTGATGAACTAAACTGAATCGGCCATCCAAGCATATTGACCATGGCCTCCTTGAGCTGTTGGGGTTTCCTGGCAGGTTGTTCATGCTCATATGATCACATGAAATCTGTTAAAATAACAAATGTTGATTTCATTCTGTGTTACAATCTTTCTACACATCTCACATTTTGTTTGAGCAGGGAGAAGGGAGGATGAGGGAATGTCTTACAGGAAATTGTTCAACATTTATGTGACTGACAAAGTGGGGTGAGGGAAAGGCAGCCAGGCTTAATTTGTTGTTTGCTTATCTCTTGTTTGTTTGCTTTGCTAAAAGAAGGATGTGCCAGATCGAAAGAAGTCAGACGGTGAGAAGAGCAAAGCAAACATTAAAAGGCAAATAATTGAATTCCAGTGAATATTATGTGCCAGACACATTTCACCAAAAACAAAAGACCATTTATTTTTATCCTTCAAGCCTTGGATTCAATTCCTCATTTAACATTATTTAAATAATAGTAACGACCTAACTCCCACTCTTAACTTTAGGTTACTTGCCCTACAGGTCTGAAATCTGTATCTATTGGGATCTAGCCTCCCCACTGCAACATCAAGGGGCCTCTTTGGCACAGGGAGCCTTAAACCAACTGAGGCTGCCCCAATGGGTACAACCCCTTTTGAATGGACACAGCCTGGCCACAGGGACCGTTGTAGCAGCTTCCAAGTTAGATTACTGTATGCGGGGGCTGCCTTCAAAAACTGCATGGAAATCACAGTAAGTCCCAATGCAGCTATTAACAGAGACCAAGTGCTGAGATCGTATCACACGAGTGCTTAAATAGCTACACCATCTCCCAGTCCATTTCCAGGAACAAATACTGGGGTGGAACTCAATGTTGTGCCATTATGAACAAAATGCACAATCATTTCAGCTTGCCAGATGTAACAATCCCCGCCCCACTGCACACGCCGTTCGGTGGGTTCTTGCGTACCCACACCAGTACAATTTTGGGGGTTCACACACACTGCAACATGCTGAAGTCACTCATGCATGCCACACAACGTGCCCTTCTCCTGTCCTGATGCTGCAGCCATTCTGTCTCCTGGTGGCTCGCTGTGAGGAAGGTCACTAGCCACCTTTCTCAAAGTAAAACATTGGGGTGTTCAAAAAGGATGTGTTATACAGCATGTGTGTGCAGGGCCTTCTCAGTTGTGACCCCTCAGCAAAGCGCATGCTCCTGGTGATGGGCATTGCTTAATGCTTGCTTACTTTGTTATCTCTTTGGTGCCTGGTGAACTCCTTTTCCATTTCTTAGGCCTTTACGAATCCAGCCCGTGATATAAAAATGTATTTTCCTGCTCTTTTATAGGCTGTTCCCCCCCCCACCGCCTGCTGTTAGTTTTGATATCGTCACATTTTCCGTGGTTGCATTTGTTTTTGTGTGTAGTAAAGAAAGTCATTTTGAAAGAGAGGCTATACATATGGTAAAATAATACGATTTTCTTAAATGGAGGTTGTCCTACAGGCATGCAAAGCAACAGTCAAGCCAATATAAAGTCTCTGATAAAAAAAATATATCTCTCTCTCCCACCCGCCTCCCTACCCTCCCGTGGGGCTTAAATCCCTGCTCATTTGAATACCCATATGCTTAAATCCATTCATTCTTTTTCAGTGGATGTGCTTAAATAAATCCCACTGGAGAAAATGAGAATTAATTATATGTTCAGCTCTTTGCTGAACACATTCTATATAAAGTAAGAATGCACTGTAATAATCCTGTCTAGAACTCACAACAGGATTATTTGCTACAGAAGGAGTCAAACTAACAATTGCCCAGCTATGCACACATGAGAAGCAAAAGAAATCTTGCCTCAGAATTCCACAAGGCAAGGTTGCTCATACTCTGTAGTTCAAAGATCCAAGCTCTGTACTCCAGATTCTGCAATCTGAATAAATTTCTACACCCCCCACACACATATTTGATTTCCTACCATAACGGTTTTCACTTATTTTATTTATTTCAATGTATTTATATCCCATTCTCATTTAATTTATATATTTCTGTTTGGAGTGCCTAGGCTGTTCCTGAAGAGAAACAGGAAGCTCATTCAGGGGACAGAATTATAACACTCCAATAAATAAAAGTCCTGCTCAGCCGCTCCTGGTTGGCTTTGAGATTTCACAAGCCAGGATGCTAGAGGCCATTTCTGCAAAGAAATGGAGGAAGTTTGAAAGAGTGATAGTTCCACTTTCACCACTTCTTAATATATTACAAAAACCTGCAAAACCTATTCAGCAAACAGGATTTGTGGGAGTTTGCATTCTATTAAAATCTGCAAAGCCTGTTTGATCAGTGACTGGAAGCAACACTGAGATAGAAAGGCCTCTCTCAAACCACTCTCTAAGGACTAAGAAATTTTCTAATGGGAAATCAAACTGCTTGGTTGCCCAAAGCATTGGGAACTGTATGTAGTTTGTTAAGGGTGCTGGTAACTGGAACTCTATGAGGGGTAAACTAGAGTTCCTAGGATTCTTTTGAGTGCAGGAAATATGCTTTAAATGTATGGTGTGTATGCAGTCCTTGACTCAAAAAATGTATCCTAAAAAAGCATATTTTAGGATAAAAAATGTTTACAAATGAGATTAAAACATATTAAAATTTTAAATATATATTTAAATGCAAATTTTCATATTATTTTCTCTTACAGATTAGCACAGAAATGGGATGGCATGATCACAGGCAGGAAAGAGACTGATCCATTCATCCTGACACAGAACACGCACCGTCTTGCTTATACGAAAATCCCTTCAGACTTTCCAAGACTGGGAAAAAAAAATCTATAAAAATCCTACCCATGCAAATGGAAGTTGAATTAAAGAAGCAAAAATGAAAATCAGGAGTCCGCCTTGACTAAAGCAGATGCTAACTAATCCTTCCTAATGAGCAAACTGAACAAACATGATTAACGAATATTAAACTTTATGAATGTGTTATACTGGGAGAATTAACACTGGAAGGGCTGGATGCTACTGTGGTTATTTCTCACTCCTCCGTTCTTCATTCCCACAAGATTTTTATGATTTTTATTGTAAGGATCTGACTTTCCTTCCTCTACCCTTCCATAAATGTAGTAAGCACTTGTTTTAAATATGGGAGTGGGAGACTGCTTAACTGTGCAACACATTAAACTGAAGTAAAATTAATAAGAGTTCTGTTAACACTGCTAGCAGGGGTCACTGATGAAGGAACTGGTGGGTATTTTAGCAGGGCAATTTCAATCTTTATGAGAAATTATTGGGTGCTGGGGCGGAGGCAGGGGGTGCCACAGCCAGCACCATGAAAGCATGTGATTGCTAACTAGTTAGCCTTGCCTCAAACCCCATTGGGTTGCTGATGTCATTGCCATTGGGATGCTGATGCCAGCTAATCAGCAACCATATGCTTGCACAAGGCTGACAGAAGTGCCCCTTTCTCTAGCACTGCCTGCCAATCTCTGGAAAGAACAAGAATTCCTCTACCTTCCTTGAACTCCCAGCAATGTTCACCAGCACGACGAGTGAACTGGTTCCTGATCATAGCAAGCAGTTGAAATGGTAATAGTCCTTGTAGATGTCATGAGTCCCATGGAGGTGTTGGTCAGATTCTGAGGCGGAATGGGAGGAATCAGAGCTATAGGAATTGGGACCCCAAAAACATGACTGAGCCCAGGAGGGAGCCAGAGTCTTCACAGAGGGAGATCTGGATCCAGCAGAGGGGCTTAGTGGTTATGTAAGAGCCCCATACTCATATTAGACCCTCACTAAAAGCAGTCATGAATAAAGGCATTAAAAGAGCCCACCAGAATGATAGTAAGAGAGAAAAGATAGCTTGCTGAAACCATGAAATAAAACTGCAGAACGCCTAACGTTCATTTTTAGGTGGGAATTCTGCAGCATCTGGCAAAAAGAGAATGAGGATTCCTCTTCCTTCTCCATTTTAATTTATGCCTGCCTGGAGGAGTTGAGGCATTCATTCCCCAAACTTAAAAGTCTTGATTGCTATGCCAGCAACTATAAATTCTCTACAAATTGATGCGCTTGTAGGTTTTGACCCAGCTAGTGAAGCCTAGCAGACTCTGCCACATTTTATTACATCCTTGAGTGCGGCAAAGGGCTGGCTTGCTGTGCAGTGAAGCTACTTCACTCCGTCGCTCTAGTCAAAAGCTAGGTTGCATTTCCACACCTTCAAACCTCACAGGCGTTGTTTCATTGCTCTCCTTTCAAATGCAGTTATTTGATTTTCAAATGCAGGATGTGTTTCTGTTTTGTTTCATCTGGGTGCCACTTTTTGTGTGTGTGTGGTATTTTTTCCTGGCATGGAGAACAATACCAGTGGTGGAAGAAGTCTGCACTTTTCAGGTTATGAGTGGAGGGAAATGGTCTCGTTCCGACTCAGGTTATCCTCAGTCCCCAAGGTGGAAACAGCAGTTATATCACCATTGCAAACTTTTCCTAACAGGAAGGTTTTCCCACATAGCCAACAAATGCAGGAAACAAAGTATTATACAAGTATTTAATATCTCAACCCCCCTCCCCAAAAAACCAGGGTAAAGATAATATGGAACCGTTTGGTATCACCCGTCACTTCAGGTATTCCAAGGCCTTGACTGCTGAAAGGACCCTCGGGTCTCTGCTGTAAGGATTCTGTAGCTTAGAACCTCAGCACAGGGCAAATAGTTCCAATAAAGGCATAAAAGCACTGCCTAGTCAAACCACAGAAAAAGGGCACTGCAGAAAAGAGTCAGGGTGCAATGCAGCATACACAACATGCATGTTGCAGTTTCAGAGATTTCTTACACCAGTTTGTAAGCATTCATTTAAAAAACAAAGCTGTCCTTTGACAGGCTGAGTGGCACATGCCTAGGACAAAGTCATTGTCTTCATGCTTGGGAGCATTTCATGGGGAAATGTTTTCTCAAGGGAATGTACATCCATCATGCAACATTCATTGCTCTTCCTAGAGACAAAGCAATAGTACTGGGTGGGGGGGGGAAGGAGTTAGGAAAATGGCTTTCAGACTGCCATTCAGATGCACATTAGATGTACACTTCCAATATGTGGTCCCACAAGTCATTTGGGTGACAGAGACGAGGTACACTTGGAAGGGAGTCCCCCTGAACTCAGTGAGGCTTACTACTGTGTAAACTTGCACAGGATCACGATGTCAAACTGTAATAATGCAAGGTTCGTGCACAATTCTACGTGCTTTTGACTCATGTGTTACAGCAGATACTGAAATATCTTCTCACACTGTGGTTCTGCTCTGCTCACAGAAGTGATTTGCATGAGCACTTCTGTTAATGAAAATTGCAATCTGGGAAGCTGACCTGAAATATTCACCTTGCTGGAGTGGTAAATACCCTTCACTATTCCTCTTCAGTGAAGGAGAGCTATAAAAGTCAGAACATATTCTATCTTTTAACAGGAATCTGGAACAGTGTTAGAAACTGTGATATGAAAGCCAGGAGTTAAATGGCACCTTAAACCTAGGTTATGGGCACAACAATGGACTGTCTAGGCACACTTTTTTAAATAACAATAATACAAAGCTGGAAATGAATGAACTGCAGCTAAAATATTATGTTCATTTTTCACATGGTCTAGTTTTCATCTGAAGACTGCAAAAAATAAAGCTATGCTTCCCCTAACCACCCCCCTAATATTCTTAAGAGGGTCTCTTCTCCAGTCCTCAGAGAGTATAGCTGGAAGTGGGGAGGCAGGAAAAGGTCCTCCTTTGCTTCCACTCTGCAGTTTTAATCTGAAATCTTAGGCGCAGCACTGCGCCCAGACCTCAGAAACTACTCGTGCTAATGAAATTCCTTGTCACAAAACACGTCTGGAACAATGGGCGTTTTGAACACTGATCTGGAACTAATATTGACAACTGATGCTAGCTTTAGGGAGGATTCCAGTTCACTCTGCATTTGAGGGTGAACCTTTCGCCCTCCACCCCAGGTCCTGTGCACATATCAGAATGTAGTTCTGCAGATTAAGTCGCATAGTCAATAAACCAACCCACACATGGGTCCTGCACTTACAAGACAGTCAAGGGCTGCCTCTTTCTTCCTTTAAATGGTTTAAGCTGTTTAGAGCAACTCCATGCAGTAAAAATTCTCTGTTGAAACATTGTTCAAATACATCATATTGTTCAGTGGGGAATTGTATGGAGAAAAGGATGGCTGCCCCATGTACCTATGGGAGTTGCCATCTTTTTCTTCATTCAATTCCCCGAGAAGAGACTGCACATTTTGATGTATGGTCATTTCCTAGGAGCAACTTAAAAATATATATTTTTGCCTCATGGAGCTGCTCTAAAGAGCTTAAAATGTTAAGAAAGAGACAGTCCACTGACTACCTCAAAAGTATTTTTGTTTGTTTGTTAAAATGGGTGTATTTATCCGCCCATAAACAAGATGAAACAGAAACAGTTTTGTTAAAAAAGAAAAGAAAATGAAACCAGTACAATTTTTTGAACTTTACCTTTGGGCTATAGTCATTGGGAGCCAAAAAACCCAACACCCTTATGGTTTAGATCCTTTGCTTAAGTTATTGTGGAAGAGCTATACCAAATGAACAGAATTTCATAAAGACGAAGATTAACCAGAGTCATATAACAAGAGGTTAGGAGGGGTCTACAGCTGCCATCTGTGAGAAAGTCTTCATTTGTTCTGAAATTTGCCTGAAATGGGATGTAATCCAGGAGATTGTACTAAACTTCTGAGATCCAAGAACACATTTTTCCCCACCAAGGGGATTTGCTGTCATATAGCACAATGCTGGTTACCTGGATAGAGCAATGGTACATCCGACTTTTAATTTGAAGGGACCCTATTCAGGCATACAATGATGTCCACCCAAATGCTCAATAAATTTCCACTTGTGCAAAAGGACTTCCTTCTTCTACCCCCTTAAACCCTCCTGCACCTCCCAAATCTGCTCCGAAGGGTGAAGCTTTCAGGACAGATTTTGGGGGCATGCAGGGGTATTCAGGGGAGAGTTGAAGTCTACCTGAACAATGTTGGATATCACCCACAGCTCTCTTCTTGAAAACCAATAGTTTGGACCCTGGGAAGTGGATACATGTTGGCCTCAGACTGGGAAAGAATCACCCATGAAACTCATTGGGTGAACTTAGTCCAGTCACTAGCCTAATCTACTTCACAGAGTTATTGTGAAGGTACATATTCCAGAGCTCAATAAATGGAATGGTGGAATAGAAGTATATTTAATAAAATAAATAAATACTCGTAAGTGCTTCAATGTTTTAGAGACGATGTGCCATAAAATGCACACACAATAAAGTCCCTGTCAAAGCTTCCTAGTTTTCAGGGTAATGATGGATTTTGTGAATCAGAACACCTCTTTAGAGCTTTTGTTTTGACTACTATTTTTATCTGAAGCAGTGCCTATTAAATGGTAAAATCACAAAATGAATGGTCATACCTTACTCATTATGCTACTTGCCGTATGATTATGCAACAGATTTTCTTTCCTGAGAACAAATCAATATAAACTGTGATTTCCTAAATGACTGTCAAGATGAAAACCAACCTGTGCAGTGCTGATGTATTTCAAGAGCCTGCGGGCTTCGTTATTCAGGGACGCTGTAGGACTTGCCCAGGGTTGCAAATTTATGTGCCAGCGGATTGTCTGGAATACCAAGGAGGGACAAAAAGAATATTAGCATAGTCAAGAACAAACATATATTCAAGAAAAGACATTTCTAGATCTAGAGCAGAATGCATTGAAAGTCTAAGTATACTATGTCAATATATATTTTATATTTAACAATACTTCCACCCAGTGCTTTTTTTTTTAGGCAGTACGCACCAGTATGCCGTACCGCTGTCTCTTTTTCCCTTGCCTGCCACCGCTTCCCGTGATGGCAGGCGCCAGTTTTTGCAAAATAGACATTAAGTTAACTGTCCTATAATTTCCCGCATCCACACTGGATCCCATTTTATGGATTTCTTTTTTTTTTTGTGGCTGGCTTTATAAGGTAAGAATAAAAATTTATAAAAGCACAAGCTTGTTCTGTATCTGTTCCTGCCAGCCATGTGGAACAATCTAGACTTAGAGGAAGTCAGAAAGACAGGCCAAGATCATATGAAAAGCTGCAAAGCGCTTATTGTCAAACAGGGCTCCCCAAATCAGGCCTCTGATTTTGTGAATCTAACCTTATAATACAAGAAGCTATTCTGCACCTGTAGAGAAAAGTTATTCCCCCCCCCCCATCGAGACCATTCTGTGGTGTCCTGAAAGAGGCAATGTTGTTGCCCACAGCATGGCATGCTCTTGATTTCATCTCTGGGGAAAGCTAGCGTCAGCACTGTTCGTACTTTTTGGAATCTGTGAAACCTGTCAGCTCAAAACCTTGGAGATCCTGTCAGCCTAGCATATAACTTTTCACACATAAAATAGGACAGGAAAGAACTTGAGGAAATGTGCTTGCATTAACAAAGGCAATTACATTCCTTCCCACCCTCCAGAAATCCATTCCCTTGGTGGAATCTCTGTCATCATGTCAAAAATGCATATGGCCACCCTTTTCCTCTCAGAAATAAAAAATAATGCTCTTTTAAAGCAGGGGTGGCGCATCAGTGGCCAGGCCATATTGTTGGAGTACAACTCCCACCCTTTGACTATGTAGGCTGGGGCCTGATGGGCGTTAGAGTTCAATAGCAACTGAAGTGGAACAACACAGTTCCAATTTCTTTATTGAGGTGCTTTCATCTGGCTTCAGAAGGAAGAGAAATCAGACTCCATTGACTTAGCTGAGGGACAAGCTGAAACCTGCATAACCACTAGCACAGTCTCATTTGAACATCTGCTACTTCCTCCCACCTTCCACAGGAAGACTATGGTTAAATGCAGACTCCATGGCTGCAACATCAGTCAACTTTCTTTCTTTCTTTCCTTCCCCCATCCCCTCCTTGTTTTGTTTACCATTTGCCTGGAGAAATAGGATTTTGGTTTGCCTTTGTATTGCCCTACTGGGGATGCTGGAATTAAAAAGGATTCTTCCATGCTGTTGATACGCTGTGGCTATGATGTGAACGGTAGTTTCCTTTGATATTCAGAGACTGGGGAAGTGGGAATGATGTCTGAAGTAGGAAGTTATGCTTCCTCTCTCCTGTTCTCTATGATGCACCTAATGCCAACCACAGAAAAAAGCAAACAAAGTGAGAGCCAGCTTCTGATGGCAAGTATCACTACGTTGAGTCCCACAGAGATTTTCATCAGAAGAGGTGCTGAATAGGGCAATGTGTCACCAGCCAGACATTGTGATAGTATAGTGACATCTCAGGATGTTGAAAAGCGGGAGTGGTGGTGGTTTCACCCTGGCACCTCGTGGGGCCAGGGCTGGTGCAGCTTGTTCCTCCCTCCATGTGCCAGGTGCTGGCAGTGGAGGGAGTCAGGCAAGCCCCACCCACAGTATACCGCGGGTGAAGGTGCCATCACACTCTGGCCCTCAAACCGGTCCTGGGTGATGCATCAATACATTGCGCAGGCCTAGTTCTGATGAGGAATTATTTCATTCATTAATTTGTGCACTGGCATGTTCAGATTTGGATCCTAGGTATTAACACTGTGCTAGTGGGATCTTTTCTGACAAAGCCAGTGTCCTGCTCCTGATATTTATCATTAAGAAGAGTGAGCTCAAGCAGAAGGAGCAGAGTTGGCGTTAGAGACCATGGATTAGAAAACCTGTGTTTTTCCTCTATTGCACGGAAAAGGAGAAGGGAGGTACCCATCAGGAATTCTAGGAGGTTGGAAACTAAAACACAGACCCTAAACAAGAGTGCAATTGGGGATTTGATAGGCAGAGGTCTCCAACCTTTTTAGGCCAGCCCCTCATCACCTCTCCCCCCTCCACTGGATCACCTCCTCTCCCCCTCCCCTGGCAGAAACAGAAAGAGAGAAGGCTCCTGCACACATATTTTGCTTTTCCAAGGGAGGTGAGTAAAAGTTGGATCCAGTAGAATTGATCTGGGCCTTGGAAAGCACATAGAGCTTAAAGAGAAAATGGGAAATTGTGTTTAAAGATGAAATGGGAAGAGTGACACTATGTGCTTTTCAAGAGAGAGAAAAGGTAACCTCCTCATGACCAAGGGGGCAGTGAGCGTGGGAGTTCGAAGGCTTTGTGAGTGCCCATGCCATTCCACCCATGAGTACAGTGGTACCTCAGGTTACAGATGCTTCAGGTTACAGACACTTCAGGTTACAGAATCCGCTAACCCAGAAATAGTACCTCGGGTTAAGAAATTTGCTTCAGAATGAGAACAGAAATCATGCTCTGGCGGCGCGGTGGCAGTGGGAGGCCCATTAGCTAAAGTGGTACCTCAGGTTAAGAACAGTTTCAGGTTAAGAACGGACCTCCAGAAGGAATTACGTTCTTAACCTGAGGTACCACTGTACCACATTGGTAACCCTGTTTCTATCATAAAAAACCTCAGAGCCCGTGAAAGAAATGCCTTGTACCATTTGAGAACACTAACAGAAACAAAAGTAAATTGGGTGCCAGGCTCTGAATTCATATACAACTGACTTCATGGAGGTCATATCCTTAGGACTACCAGAAAAGGACCCTTTGCAAGGATGGATGGTAGACACATTGCAGGGAGCGGGGTGGAATGTAATGAGAGGGAAAGGGCAAAGTTCAAAGACAAAAGGGGGATGAGAGTCAGACCAGATCAACAGCCATGAATGGATAGCGTGAGTCATATTTTTGCAGCTTAAATAAACACTGTCTTGCTGGGAGCCAAAAACACTACATGAAGCTTTTTGTTCATTGAGGGTAGAGTTCTCCCTCGCTCCCTTGTAGAGGAAAGATGAAAAGAACATTTTAGAAATTTTTTGCAATTGACAGCCAGAAAGCCGACTTCGGTTTTTCCATCACTTAAACTGTTCTTTTGCATTCTCTTAACTTTCCATTACTGGTCAATGAATGAGCTTGCATGCCCTTCAAAACTGAAGCTGAAATACCAACTTGCAGCATCTGTCACTGCTATCTCATTTCTAGGCAGCAGTGTTGAATTGCCTGGACCCATTGGGAGGGAGAAGCATGAAGCTTTCCAAAACCATTCAAAACTTTCCTACAGCCAGACAGCATTTGAAGGAACTTGAAGACTGGAATTCTGACAGGTCAGAAGGCAGAGATGAGAATGGGAATTGACAACACAATCCCAGGCAGAAGCCAAGGACATATGCAGACGAGTCCAGTTAATTCAGAAATGTCTTTGTGGCAGGCAGTGCATGTACCACACAAAAGAAAGTGAACTTTAGCATATCCAAACCAACATTTTAAATGTATTTTTACATATAGCTTGCAGCGGGTGGGGAAAACATCTGCTGCAACAAACTGAACTTGTGTCTTTATTTTTTAAAATAAAATACTTGCCACCTTTCTGAGAAGAATTTTTTATCGTGGCAGATCTAATGTAGTTACTTTTTGTGGAAAGACATGTGTCTAGGTTAGCCAACATGGCGCCCTCAAACAGTTGTTGGTTCACAACTCCCATCAGCCCCAGTCAGCATGGCCAATGGTTTTGGGGGGGGGTGTTACTGGCAGGGGAAGATAAGATATACAAAACCAAGCAGCGCTAAAGCAGAAACAGACCCCAAGACTCCTAAGAACTCAAAAGCTTATTTTCCCTCAGTCGAAATCCAAAGGGCCCAAATCGTTCCTTTTATCTCATGCCCCCCAAGCTTTAGACCCATTTTACCATTTTTATGTAAAGAAATACTTGTAAAGTATTTTATGTAAAGAATCACCTGTTGTTCACCATCAACCTACAAATACAAGCTGGGCTGTACAGAGAGGGATTTCACTATGCTCATCACAACAGAACAGCTTGGCTCATGGCAAATCAATCCGACATTTTAAAAAAGGAATAAGAAATTTTGGGGAGCAGTGAATTGTCCAAGAGCAACTAATGCTGCAGCTGTGGACCTGATCAGCCCCTTGAATGGAAGACCACTGGTAGCACCATGTAAAAGCAGAAGCGGGGGAATTAAAAAGTAGGATAAAAGTATGCTGCCTCTCAACATGTTTGAATGTACATCAGTGCAATTGCAGTGTTCTACTTTTATGTCCTCTGCCCTGCTAACCTGGCACAAGAGGCTGCTTTAGCAGCACAGAAATATGGGCCAGCGCATTCATCCCAGTGATATTATGGGCCAAGTATATTATTGATAGAAAATTAAATCACAACAGCCTCAAGACAAAATAGGAGTCAATTTAAACTCTACATGATAAATGGGAACGTCAGGTAATCCAAATATAACTGCCAGGTGCTTGTAAACATTGGCAAAGCAAATTGGAGATGGTGGTACCAGCTATGGAAAATAATCTGATGGTTCCATAGACATTAGAGACAAATGGGTCCTAGACAGGAAGCCAATCTCAGGAGGAGGAAGTGTTACCAGCCAACTTGTCAGGCCAGGAACATTGGGTTTTGGGTGGAGGAGGGGGTGCATGTGTGTCTGAAAAAGAAAAAAAGAAAAACTATTATCTAAGTTCAAAGTTGCTTCTGGGTGACATGTTTAATGAGCATTCAGCCTTATTTGTTTGTGAAGAGGTTAGATGCTGAAGGCCATTTAAAGAGCACTCATGAAAGCAAGTATTATCCCACACTTTTCAGTGCATT